GCCTCCTGCAACGGTCCCGGTGCAACGCCTGGCCCCCGGGCCGGCCCCGGTCTCGGGTTGGGCGCAGAAATGGCTTTCGCGTGTCTATGCTCTTCTTCAAACAAACGGCCGCCAAGACCCGGAAACCAACCTTCATGTTTTCCTCGGGATGACGGGCGTCGATGCACAAAGCAGACGAAATTTACAGCTCCGCCTTTATCCCCGAAGGGGCCCCAAGATGTTACGGGGGTGCACAGCAGCGGCATCAGCAGGGTTCGCTGGGGTTGGACGGAAGGGTCCGGGGAAGTTCAACAAGGCAACAATCCAGGTCGGGAACCGGCACGTGCACGCAAAGCGACCTTCAGTGCGTCATTTGTATTTCTGTTTGGCATCGGTTTCACATGGCTTCATGGCTTCTTGGCTTCTTTGCTGCTTTATAAGTTCTTCTGTCTTGTTACTGAAAGAAAAGTACAACTGATATGTTAAAGCCAAGGGAGTTTTGTATCTATGTTGGATCTATGAGTTGCTGGTTGTGGCTCTTCTTCTCTTGGTCCTTCTTGAGCCTTGCTGTCGGCCTCCTGGCCCCTAACATCCCTCCCCACACCGAAGTCCTTCCTCAAGCAAGCTCCAGAAGCCTGGTGATTCTCGGGAGCCTTGCGGCTGTCCACGTGCATTCTTGCAACGGAGACGGTATGTTTCTTTGGATTCTCTCTTTGGGATCCTCCATTCCCCTCCACACCCCCCCCCACCCCATTTTCAGGTTCCCTGAGAGCGTTAGGTTGAGCTAAAGAGGGGTAGCCACATGAGCCACATGCCCGCGCTGACCTCTGCGAAGTGCTGTCGCCTGCATCTTCGCACGCCTTCCAGGTCTGAAAAGGGCGACGCACACAGGAGGACACAGAACTCCTCGAACTCTGGGTGACTCGTATTCCGATGACTCCTAAACTCCTCCGGAACCCTCCCAAATTGAACCTCACAGCGATATGCGCATTTTTGCTGGGGGGGGGGAGGGGGGAGGAGGGCCCTTCCCTCCCCGCCATGAGCTCGAGAGCCACAGCACCGAAGAAGGCGTTGGTCAGGTGGATGCATGCAAAGTCGTGGATTTCCTCTCAAGCTTCAAGTTTTCAGGCATCTACGCCTTGCACCAACCCCACACAGCCTTGGCAGTAGAGGGTGGAGTCTCAGGTCATAATATGGATGCCAGCATTGCCAGAGTCGGTGTGGAGCTTTTTCCTCACTACGCTTCGTAATCTTGATTTGTTAAACACATGTTTGTAGGCCCCCTGGAGTCCGAACCTCTCCAGGCCTCGATGCGTTGAGGGGAGTTTGGGGGTTCTTTTCGGTGACAGGGCGTTTCGTGGAGGCTATTTTCGGATCAAGCCGTCAGTCAAAGCTATTTACAGCTACGTGCGTCCAGGTCTCAGGGCTCTTGCTTGATGCGCGTCAAGTCTTGTGGGGGGGGGGGGGGGGGGGGGTTGGAACGTAGGTGTGCAGCGTGTCGGAAATTTGGGGCTGCTCAAGGCTTGCCAGCGCGCCTTCTTCACAGCTTGGCAACTGAGTTGGATCAGCTCCTGATTCAGGCTTTGGAGTTCAGGGTGAATGGACGCAGGTCCGCCCCATGAAGCCGTTCAACCGAAACTCCAGCCTAAAACTCGAAAGAGCTGGAAAGCCCAGACCCGAAACTGAAACCCTGAAAGTCCAAACCCACAACGGCAATACTTGCAAAACTTAAAGGCCTAGGCCGGAAACCCAATCGCAACATTGCCACGCAGTACGCAAAACCTAAAATCAAGCAAGCCTAGGTCCACCTTTGCAGGACGAAACTACTGCGGAAAATCTTGACTTGGACCAAGAGCTTAGAACTAGGAAAGAACTGCTGGGGCCCAATCCGCAGCCATCGTTGAAATCTTGAACCAGAAACCTTAAGCCTTCAGCCCTCACGCCCTAAACCACGAAGACCACGAAACAACCCCCGAGGGGCCAAAGGTCCTCCCACGGCAGCTCCATTCCGGAAGGCAACGCGGCAAGGCCCACAAGCATCTCAGCGGCCTCAAGAAGCACAGGGCTCTTTTGGCTTCTTTGAGGCCGTCTGGGCTTGAAGGACGGTTTTGGGGTACCAACAGGATGCTGGGGCTTACAAAGTGTGGGGCTTAGGGCGGAGGAGTTGAGAACTTCGCTGCCCTAAACACCCTACATGTCTCCTCCCCCTCCTTCCCCTCCTCCCCCTCCTCCCCCTCCTCCCCCTCCGAGGCCACCCGGGCCTTAGGGAGAAGTGGGATGCTTTGCTTAAGTGTTGGCGTGAAGGGTGGGGAGCCTAGTAGGTGAACTTCCAACTTTTGTCAAGAGGAGCTCCATGATGCCGGAGCCAGGACAGCAGGGTTGGGCTTCGGCCGGATTTGGGAGTTGAATACAGGTCCTAGACTTGATTGGGTTCCCCCCACAGAAGGCCGCATTCTGAGCAGTCAGTGTCGCGTAAACTCTAGTCCGAAAGAACAACGAATACCGCAGAAGCTCGAAGCCTCAAGCGCCTCTTGACACCCAAACAGATGTTGACGAAGACTAGACTTCCCTGAAAGCTGCTCTTACCGGCGCAGAAGCCTCAAAGTTTGACCAGTCGTCGGGACCTTGGAGTGATTTGAAGCCGCTGTAGGAAGGGGGAAAGGAGCCACCGCTTCGGCTTCTTAAACCCGGGGGTTCGCAAACAGGAACTCAGCCAACGAAACCCCAGAGAGCCCTCGAAACTTCCCCGCGAACTGAGACCTGCGAAGCCTAAACCTTCAAGCGCAGCCCCAACTTGGAGCTTCAAGGCTTTGAGATTTGGGGTTTAGAGATTGGGGTTTGGGGGTTTTGAGCTACTGCTCCTACTGCATGGCGTCTTGTGCTCCTTCCTACCAACACTGCAATGATTCGGGTCCTGTACCAAGCAAGTGCTGCGAGGGTCGGTGCTGAACCTTCCTGGAAGCTTAATGCTCCCTGCCTCCCATCCGAACTCTACATCCCTAAGCCCTTAACCCAGCCGTGCCCTCCTGAAACGCTCAGCCCCCTAGGAGCAAGAAACTTCGAAGCCCTAAAAAGCCCTCCGCCAAAACCCTTTCAAACCCCTGAATTGCCCCCCAAAGCCACTCAAACCGCAGAAACCTCGAGGCCCCCAAGTGAACCATCCGAGCGTCGCTGTAGCATCTCCAGCGCAGCCGCGCGAAAGAGGGCAGAGCCAGCCTGCCAGAGCTGTTCAAGGGGATGTTCGAGATCTTACGTACTGCTGCTGTTTTTGGGTGCCAACTCACGCCTCTCCAGCCTAGGTCCTATGCACACTCCGGAATCCAACTGGTGCTCCCGCCTGGCTCCCGTGCTCTTTTGAGGTTTACACAAGGTTCACACAGCTTCATACCGTGAAAGTGTCGACCTGACGCACTTTCCTGAGTTTTGGGCTGCTGGATGGGTTGCCTTCGTGCGTTCCTTGTAGGGCGATTTGCATTTCGTAGATTTTACCTCTCGTTGGAAAGCCCTCCTACTCAATGCGATGTTTTCCTTATACATGCTCTTTGCGGTTCACGAAGCTGTACTTAGATAGGAAAGCCCCGAGTAAAAGGGGTTCCCATGGAAACTTAACCCTGACCGACGGAATATGGGCTCACTGGATCTTAACTTAGGTTTGGGTTTGGGTTTTAGGGCTTAGGAGTTTTGAGTTTAGGGTTAGGAGCCCAGGATTAGCAAGTAGGGAGTTGTCGGAGGCCTCTCTCCATTTGCAAACGCCATGCTCGCATGACGGGGTTGGACAGGTTTTCCAGTGGACATGATGCTCTCCAAAGCCAGAGTATTTGGCTTCAAAAAGTCGAAGGCCCCCCGATTGCCAAGTGCTCGATGGTATGAACTTTAGAGCAAGATCGCATGGCTCTATAGACAAGACGGGGAAATGGGCAAGGGGTTTAGGCTCGAAAAGCCCTGAGAAGTTGATCAGAATTCTCGTGTTTGCTCTCGGGGGCATACTATATTCATGAGTCCAAACTATCTGGATCTGCGGCAACGGGCGCACTCAACCCCGGCATGTTCTGCATGTCGGGCGAGATTTAGCTTCAAGCATCTTCGGTCTCGGGGGTGCAACGCATAAGGCTTAGGAGAAGGCTTAGGGTGGGTGGTGGGCGGGTCTACCTCCGCAACTCCCACTGCCTCAACCACGTCGCCGGTGCCGGGCAGCAGCAGGCGGCGCATGCAACCTGGAATCAGGATTGATGGTTTTGGGGCTTTAAGATTTTGAGTTTTAGGACTACTGCTGGGTCCAAGGCATGGGGTTTGGTTTAGGGCTCAAGCGTTTGCAGTTTCGTGGGAGGTTCGGCCTCACGAATTTGGGACTTGGAGCAAAGGGCCGGTGCTCCAGAAAGCCGGGGGGGGGGGGGGGGGGGGGGGGGGCGGATGGACTGAATTCCGCCAAGGCCCGTCCTGTAGCAAGGCGCAAGATACCCGAAGTCGGACTTGCGTCTTTCAACTGGTCTGAGCTTGGGGTGAGGGGGAGGCTGTCCAACTAGGACTTGCCCAAAGCTGTTGGGGTTTTAGTGTCCTCCAAGGCACTCACAACAGACCGTGTTTCCAATAGCCCTACCACCTTGACCCAGTAGAGTCAGTACAGCTTCATAGAGCCATAAACATAGGCCACAGGATCTCTCTGAGCTCCTGGCCTGCAATGCGAGCCTCAATCGAAGGCAACAGGCCATGGAGTTGCTTATCACCCCGCATTGAAGACGAGCATCGGGGCCTAGAAAGCCCAAACCTCATGGCGCTGTCTTCTGGTGAAACAACCTTCGGGGAGGCAAGCCGCCAAGACTTCCTACGCCGCCTCGCCGCCGTCGGTCTTCCTATACGCGTTCCTGTTTTGCGTCTGCTTTCGAAATCTGGGGACTTGCCTTCCACGCACAAGCTGTATGCCTCTATGCCCACGCCCTCCCTCCCTCTTCCTCTCTCTCCCTCTCCCTCTCCCTTCCTTCCCTTCTTTTGTGGGGAAAAACAGCGCGAATGGGAGATTGTTTCCCGTTTCCCCCCCGCCCCCCCCTTCTGTCTCCCTGTCTGCAGAAAACCTGGCCCACGGCCAAAATCCGCCAACCGTGCCTCCCACGTGAAACCATCAACATTCGAAGGCGTTCAACCCTAACAACCACCCTGCAATCACTATATGCACCCTGGCTTATGAGGGGTGAGATGCCGAAACTCGAAATCAAGTGCGGGGCCTTTGCTCTCGACGCTCTGTCTTTCACAGCATTACACGGAGGAACGGAACTCAGAAGCCACCCCCCCACCCACGCACCCACCCCACCGTTTGCTTCAGATTCAGGTCATGTGTCTTCTCCTGAGACGGCTTCTCATCCATCCAGCCAGTCTGTCCATCTGTCCATCCAACCAGCCACCCATCATCCATCCACCACGCATCATCCATCCACCCATCTCCACGTTCTTCCTATTCACCCGTCCCGCTCTCGTCTACATGGCAGAGTACAAAACTCAAAGCCCGAAACCCAAATAGCCCAACACGGATTCGAACCGCGAGTCGGGACACCAGCGTGTATGTCGACCATGCGCAGGGTGGCTCCACCTGCTTTGCGGTCCTCAGTTGATCTTGCAGCTTCTCCAAATTCTAGGGTCCCACAGGGTAACCCAGAAGCCTCAACCGAAAATGGCCCCAACTTGTAGCTTTGGCCAGGTGCTGGCGCAGAATCGAAGGACGGCAATTTCCTCGGACGGCTGTGGTTCATCGCAACTTGCTCTTGGGGTTGAGATGGGGTCCAATCAGGGTTCAACGAGGTTCAGGATTGTTTGAGGGCTTAGTCCCCCCATAGACCCGAAGCATCTGAGAGCGTCATTGTTAGAGGTATGAGATTGAAGTCGAATTCGGGTTTCAGTGTTTAGGCTTCGGGGCTTTACGATTTTTGGGGTGTTGAGTGATAAGTCCAAACCTGCAACTCCTCGAATGAATGAAAAACCGAAAACCCCCAAACCCCCCAACCCTGAAGGGTCCTGTTTTGGCCAGGGCCGTCAGCGACACCACGAGATTCTCATAGGTGATCCGATGAAGCTCCTCTGTCGCTAGGAGGGCCCCCATAAACCTCTCTTCCGTGATGTTTAGGGTTCCTGTCCCCTCAGGCTGCAGAGGTGACAGTGTTGATGTCGCTCACGTGACGTCGTCAGCGAACTGTCACGAACGAACTTTTGTGCCTTGTCTTGGCGGGGGGGGGAGGGGGAGGGCGGTAAACAGGCCTCAGACTGAAACGCCTCAGACAAAAAGGTCCAACCTCTTGTGTAGGGAGAGCCGCGGGCTGGGACGAAAGCTCTATGTCTGTATCCGTGGAGGAGCTTCCATCGCACGGCTGATGCTTGCATGAACTGCGCTCGGTGTGTACTTTCATTGCGCAGCTCCAGCCAGCACACGACATCTGCAGTTAGACCATGCATGGGTCGAAAGCTTCAAAAATGCCTCAGAGAGGATGGGTGGCCCCGTTTCTTACCCAAGAGTCCCCGAGCAAAGCCAAATGAACGATTGAGAAATCTCAAGTCAGTCTCCTTCTCCACAAAGTCCATGAAGGCATCGAACAAGTCTGGAGGTACATATCCGACCTCGGGGGTAGGAGCGGAAAAACGGAGCCTGTTTTGGGCACATCCCAGAGCACACCAGGCGGATAATTCTGACTTCCAATGGCTTGCCAGGCTGCACGGGCGAAAGCTTCAAGGACGAAGGGCAGAGAGACCTGAAGCCTCGCGCTCATGGAGGGTAACAAAAAGTTTAGAAGCTCAATCTCACGCGTACGCTCCAGTACCTGAGTGAGCGGAAGGGATGGACATTTCTAGGTCCAAATCTACGTCTGGGTCCATCATGTCCTGAGTATCGGCATACAGATCACCTCACCCTACCCCTCCAGTGCGAGGTGCTGCAGCATGTTGAGATCGCCATGGTCTCCATCCTGACGCCAAGCCCAGGGTGTAAAGCGGTTTCGTGCTGAACCGAATCTGCAGTGTCCTAGCAGCGCTCGAAAATCAGCGAAGCAGCAAAGGACAAATCTGTGGTAATTACAATCTGTGGCATCAGGAAGTTCCCAGCGGTTCTCACAGATGCCAATACGAAAAAAAAGTGCTTCGCAGGCTCAGGATCAGCGACCATGAGCTTTTGCGTTGCACTTCCGCTTCGAGCTGCAGGAACCAAACAATTTGCACCCCAAGCTCATACTCCAGGATGTCAAGATCCAGGGTTTCGGGTGGTTTATCGTTCAGGGGTCGGGTTGTCGAGTTCATGCCCCCCCCCCCCCTGGCCTGCGCCAGAACGTGGCGCAGCAGGCTGGTAAGGTGTGGGCTCATAGCCTGGGACGGCAGAAACCTTCAGAACCGGCACCCCAGCATTAAGCCATGCATGAAGCATGAATCTATCCTATACCTAATCCCCAAGACCCTCAAAGTGAAGTTTACAGGCTTAGTACCCCTTGACTTGGCCATGCAGCTTCTTGTTGGGCCAAACAAAGTGCTCAAGAATCGCGTCTGGCCTTCTGGCCCAAGCACTTAGACACACATCTTGTGAATCATCACATAAATCCCCATTCCCGCGCCGCCCAAAAGCCCCCTGTCAAAGCGCATAAGCCCCAGCCACCCCCCCCCCCCCCGCCCTAAGCCTCAAAAAGGCGGCCGTACTCCGGGCGGAAGACAGAGGCATAGCTGGACCTGAGAGGCACTGTCCGAAGCGTTCATGGAGCTTGGGGGTTTCGGGCTTAGGGCTTCGGTTCAGCCCCACGATGATAAGTCCACGCACCCTAACGCAACCCCCGACCCGAACCATCCCTAAACTCGCCCCCAGTCACCCCAAAGTCACCCTAAACCCACAGGGCCCCAGACAGCACCACCGCAATCTTCGACAAGCTCAGGTGTTGGTGCCGAGCGGCCAGGCGTGGCCTCGATTCTCAAAGGGGCTGGAAGTTTCGTTGTTTCGTTGGGTTTTTGCAGGGGCTTTCGGTGGAGAGGGTAAGGGTTGAGGCACTAAGGCTTATTAGGGAATTGACGAGGCTTTGGAAGTGGTGCGGGCTTGGAGGTGTCACTGGCTTGTTGCCTCGCGGACTTAGAGGTTTGTTGGGGAGTGGTTTTGAGTGTTCGGGAGGCTTCTAGTTCTTCAGCGCAGCAGGAATGTGCTCCAAAGCCGAAGTAGGCTGACAAGTAAGGGAGCCACTAACCATTGCTGCCCTCCCAAGGCATGCTGGAAGACCATGCTGGGGATGTCTTGTCGTAGTCGGCTTATTGCCCTATAGAATGATGAGCCGACACAGCCGCAAAACGACGGCCAATTTGACATATTGTTAACAATCCCAATGATAGCCATACCTGAAATCACAACAGCAAAACCACACCCCAAGCCCCCAAAAAGCCACCAGGCGTCGTGTGTGTTTTTAACCGCCCCTTCCTTTCGGGGCTTCAAAGAAGCGGACCTCGGGCCCAGGCAAGGCCTCCCGGCACAGCTCGTGGACGACCTTCCCAAACATGAAACCGTCCCCCGGAAACTGAACCCAAGCACCTCCGATATTGAGGCTTTTTGGTTTGGGCAGTTCACGTAGAAGCTTTTTGGTTTGGGCAGTTCACGTAGCCGTCCGGAATGAAGTCAAGTTTCTGAAGCTACGGCAGCGATGCACTTCAGTCAGAGTGGGCATATACGACGGGTGACTCTACCACTCGAGGCATAAAGGCCAAGCAGCCGCACTGAGTGTAAGAGAGCCGCAGCACCCTGCTGCAAACGGCTCGAAGCTCTAAAGTAAGATGCTCCTGGCCTTCTCCATCTCAGACCACGTATCCAACTCCTAGGCATCAGAACACTGCAAGGCTTAGCAAAGAATAGGGCTGTGGGGTTACCATGGGTTTCCCCCCCCCTGTTGTCTAGCCCTCTACCTGGGGGTTTTCTGGAACCAAGCAGCGAGAGCACGCAGCAGCTTGTTCTTGTTGTTTGCCTTCGCGTGACGAGTCTGAGGGGTTTTTTGGGACCCACTTGCAGGAGGCTTCTGGGCGCAGATCTTGTGGTCCAGGGTTGTAGGACTTGGGGTTCAGAACCTTGGGGGTTGAGACGTCGCGGCAAGGCAGGGCGAGGCTCAGATGGAAGCCGAACCCTGTGGACTCGAAAGCACGCGGCGGCTGCCATGACAAGGCCTTCTACGCATCACCGGCAGCAACGATCTCGCCTGCAGCCCCCACAAAACATAAAGGTCCGCAGTACATCTGGGGGGCCTGCGCACCTTCGTTTTCAGGTGTTGTTTCGGTCATTTTTGGCGCTTGCACTTCGCTCCATTGAAAAAGCAGACTGTACGTGCGGAATTGTGTTCGCTTTGCGCGGCGCTCATTGGTCCCATCCTCAGCGGGGGGGAAGGAGGTGCGTGGCGGCCGCCGTGGCCGTGGCCCGAGGATCGGAAACTCCGGAGAAGCAGAGGCTGGGGAGAGCAAAGGCCCCACACGACAACCACCGGGGATCGACGGGAGCGAAATTTGAAAGGAGCGAAGTTCCGATCAGCTCGTCGGTCCGTTGGTGGTTCTCCGGTCTGAGGGCGGAGGGCGGAAAGGTCTACCCCTTGATGTCCACGATGGGAGCCCTGTGCTAGGCAGAGCTTGATCCCCAAAGCCTAAGCCGATTTGGGAGACCCTAGCTCTGGCAAGAACCCCTTGTCTAGAGTCTAGAATGGAAACTACAACTCGAATCTACAACCTGAAAGCAAGGATTCCTGTTCAAAAAGAATTGAGGAACAACCTACCAATCAAATTTCCAAAAAGGTTGTCCTGCCCACGCTGGGAAGCGGAATCTGAGGGCCCTCAGGGGCGTTGAGGCCTCCTAGGGCCTGAGGCTTCAAGGTTTGGCTCTCCAGTTGGGACTTGCACCGAAACCTAACCTCCTGAACCTCCAAAACCTGTCAACAACCCAAACAAAGCCGATCTTGCTTAGGGCTTCGGGCTCTCCCTAAGAACTGCCTGGATCAAACTTTGGAGGATGTGGATGAGTTGGCTCTCGTTGGACACAGCGCTCTGACGCCTGGCGCATCCCACTCGCAGAGAGACATATGTTGGATTTTAGTTGGGGAGGCTAGGGGCGGGGGGGGAGGGTTATCGATTTGGGGAGGGGCATCTGAGTCATTGCGACTTGGCTTCTTAGCTTAGAAAGGTGCGACCAACCCCCCCTTCCCCTCCCCGCTCAACCTGACGTAGCTGGTCCATTGCAGCAGCAGGTCCTGTGCCGAAGCAAATCGGAGCCCCCCAAGGAAGGGAAGTACCCCGAAGTCCCCACCCCCAGTGGAGTTCAGGAGCTTTGCGGTTTCTTCAAGGGCCTTTGGAGTGTGATTTTGCTTTGGGTGCGAGGTCTCAGTGCTTCAGGGCGCTCGAAGGTGCGTACACACCTGACATCTTTGAGAACCTGACATTGGCATAGCAGGTTGAGAACCTCTTCTAGACTTAAATTGAGGTCGTCTTGAGAAACTGCAAAAAGCCTCAAAAGGGCTCAGGAAACCCTACACGTTTTAACCGTGAATCCCAAAGGTTAGCGGATTCACTGCCGTCATGAGCATGCCCATGGTGGCCTTGACCTCATCGACCCAATGCTCAGCCCGAAGCCTCCCCGGCTCTCAAGTCGCCAAAGTTTGAGACAAGTCGACGTCACAGCGCCTCCCTGAAACCCGAACCCTACACTTCCTAAAAGCTTCCTCAACCCCCATCCCCCAAAATCCGACAGCTTCTCAGAAAATTGAAAGGGTGGGGGGTGGGCTGAGTGGGATTCTGTGGGAAAGTCGACCCATGGCTATGTCGACTCCTCGTCCACATCGTAGCCACTGTACTTTGAGGCCCTCGAGAGCCAATAGAATATCCTCGGGGGCACGCTGAATGCGAGCAGTTTTGGAGGGCGATGCCTTACATGGGCATGACCTGGGGCGTGCTTTGGGTTGGAGCATCCCATGTGTCCAGGCTCAATGCCGACTCAATGCTCTGGCTTTACGGCTCATGAACATCTATACTCTGAACTCTTACAAAAGTCTTACAAATCAGCTCGACCTCGAAGTGTACTTGCCGACATTTCTCGCTCGGCCCTCCACGTGCCATCAAAGAAACGAGGGTGGCCGTTTAAGCCCTTCAACCCTGCACCCCAAAGCAAGTCACAAACCACTTCCGCCCTCCTGAGCGTAAGCCTGACGAGGGTCGCAGCGTTTGTGGCGAAGCTCTCCCGGGGCATTGCCTCACTGCAACTTCAACCGACTTGAGGCCGAAACTTTTTAGGCCCCAGGCCTCTGCTAAACCCTGAGCCCTGAAACAGCATTCGGAAGTCCGATGCATCTTCCCCGGAACCTGAACCCCGAAAGCCGAAACCAAAAAAACGAGCAACTGCAAGACAATCGCCAGAATTTGTGAGGATACCTCACAACATGCTAACAATTCCAGCGGATGAGATGCGCAACACCCATTCTGCCATGAATCAGAACACCCCCAAAACCTCAAAAAATCCAAAACTCTGAGGACCCAAAATAACTAAACTCTAATCACAAAAGCCCCCCGAAAGCCTCAGATCCCGAACCCTGAGACCCCAGTCCTGAAACTTGAAGGCGAAACCCCTAAAAACCCTAAAATTTCAACCCCGCCAAAACCCACACACACTCTGTTCCTTCCCACCTCCCGGGCTCGGTGCACAAAGGCATGCAACAGCTGCGGCCGTGTATACGTGAAGAGGCCTCTCGCTCGTGGTTTTCAAGTGCCTTACACATGGTACAGCACCCTGTGAGAAGCTGTTTCGGTCGGAGTTCCGAGAGTCCGACAACGTGGGGCCTCTAAACCCCCAACGATCTGTCCCTGTGAGCTCTTAGGGTCTTAGGGGCCAGGACGGGGCTGCTGAGGGAGTTGTTGCAAGTCTTGAGACATCTCAAGCATTGACAACGCCTGTGTCTGGATCCACGTCCATTGACCTGCGGATGTCCTGCCAGGCACGCCCTTCTGGCTCGGCTCAGGAGGCCCCGCAAGGGTCAAAAAAGTGTACAGGGCTCAGGTGTTGAGGGATTACAGTTTAGGGGCGCAAGCTTCGCTCAGAGCTTCCATTCGATCACTGCGGGCTATCCGCTCAGCTTCCAGCAAACTCTTGGGTGAACTTTGGAAATTTTCTGAAGCTTGTTGACGGGTCCTCTTTTCTCATGCCATCTCCGAATGCTCGCTCAATTAAGAGTTGAGGCTGTCTCACGAGTGATCAGGAGCAGTCCCCGTTGACAATCGCATGCCTAACCCCCTCACCCAAACATGCAAGCCTTGAGCCCCAGACCCTAAACTTGTGCACAAACTGCATACACACCCTAGACCGAAAACTTAAAATTGAAGGGGGGGCCTAGGGCTTCGCCGGACCTCAAGCCCCATGTCTGCACATAATGTATATATATATATATATAATACAATACAATACAATACAATATAATAATATTTAATACAATGTAATTTCATCTAATATAATGTAACAAAATAAACTATAACATAATATACTATCATATCATGTAATATAATACAATATAGTATCATATAATATCACATCATACAATATGATATAATATGATATAATATGATATCCGCCGACCCCAGCTTTGAGCGGGGGAGGCGCTAGTGAAGACCCATAGTCTTGCCGCTCTTTCCGCCACTCCGCCCGCTCCGCCCGTTCCATCGCATGGCCCCCATGCCTCCATGCCCTCGACCCCGGCTCCAGCTCATGGCCCCAGGATCCCACATGGCTGCCACCACCCACACCTCATGGACATGTCTCACATGGCTGCCACCACCCACACACCCTCCCCCTCCATGCACCCTTCCCATGGCCCCGTGGCCCCATGCCCCTATCAGATGACTTGAAAGGCCCCAATACATGCCCGCCCGCTCCGCCCTCCCCGCTCTCCCCACCCCATCCCCCCATGCACCCTTCCCGTGCCCGCTCTCCCCGCCCCCTCCGCCCGCTCCACCCGCTCCACTCCATGGCCCCCATGCCCTCGACCTCCTGGCACCCATGGTCCCACACCTCATGGGTGTTTTGGCATTCTTTTAGGGGCTCCAGCTCATGGCCCCAGGATCCCACATGCCTCCCACCACCACTTTAAAGGGCCCCAGTGCATGCCCGCCCGCTCCGCCCTCCCCGCTCTCACCCCCCGCTCCCCCCCATGCACCCTTCCCATGTCCATCGCATCTATGGCTCATGGCCCCATGATCCCACATGGCTCCCACCACCCACACCTCATGGATGTTTTGGCATTCTTTTAGGGGCTCCAGCTCATGGCCCCATGTCTCACATGGCTGCCACCACCCACACACCCTCCCCCTCCATGCACGCTTCCCGTGGCCCCGTGGCCCCATGCCCCTATCAGATGACTTGAAAGGGCCCAATCCATGCCCGCCCGCTCCGCCCTCCCCGCTCTCCCCACCCCATCCCCCCATGCACCCTTCGTGCCCGCTCTCCGCCCACTCCGCCCGCTCCATTCCATGGCCCCCATGCCCTCGACCCCGGCTCCATGCCCTGGACCCCGGCTCCAGCTCATGGCCCCAGGATGCCACATGGCTGCCACCACCCACACACCCCTTCCCCCCATGCACGTTTCCTATGGCCCCGTGGCCCCATGCCCCTATCAGATGACTTTAAAGGGCCCCAGTGCATGCCCGCCCGCTCCGCCCTCCTCGCTCTCACCCCCCGCTCCCCCATGCACCCTTCCCATGTCCATCGCATGGCCCCATGCCCTCGACCCCCTGGCACCTATGGCTCATGGCCCCATGATCCCACATGGCTCCCACCACCCACACCACATGGATGTTTTGGCATGTCTCACATGGCTGCCACCACCCACACACCCTCCCCCTCCATGCACGCTTCCCATGGCCCCGTGGCCCCATGCCCCTATCAGATGACTTGAACCCGATGGCCCCCATGCCCTCAACCCCGGCTCCATGCCCTCGACCCCGGCTCCAGCTCATGGCCCCAGACACACCCCTTCCCCCCATGCACGTTTCCCTGGCCCCATGCCCATGCCCTCGACCCCGGCTCCATGCCCTCGACCGCGGCTCCAGCTCATGGCCCCAGGATCTCACATGGCTGCCACCACCCACACACCCCTTCCCCCCATGCACGTTTCCCATGGCCCCGTGACCCCATGCCCCTATCAGATGACTTGAAAGGGCCCCAGTGCATGCCCGCCCGCTCCGCCCTCCCCGCTCTCACCCCCCCCCCCCCATGCACCCTTCCCATGTCCATCGCATGGCCCCCATGCCCTCGACCCCCTGGCACCCATGGCTCATGGCCCCACATGGCTCCCACCTCATGGATGTTTCAACCCCGGCTCCATGCCCACCCCGGCTCCAGCTCATGGCCCCAGGACCACCACGACCCCCTGGCACCCATGGCTCATGGCCCCATGATCCCGCATGGCTCCCACCACCCATCAGATGACTTTAAAGGGCCCCAATGCATGCCCGCCCCACCCTCCCCGCTCTCCCCCCCCCCATGCACCCTTCCCATCCCCCCTTGCCCCAAGCCCCTAGACCCAGCGCATGCCCGCCCGCTCTGCCTCCCATGCACCCTTTTCAGATGATCCCACATCCGCCTGCTCGGCCCTCCCCGCTCTCCCTTGCACCCTTCCCGCGCCCGCTCTCCCTGCCCCCTCCACCTGCTCCGCCTGCTCCATTCCATGGCCCCCATGCCCTCGACCCCGGCTCCATGCCCTTGACCCAGCTCATGGCTCCAGGATCCCACATGGCTGCCACCACCCACACACCCCTTCCCCCCATGCACGTTTCCTCTGGCCCCGTGGCCCCATGCCCCTATCAGATGACTTTAAAGGGCCCCAGTGCATGCCCGCCCGCTCCGCCCTCCCCGCTCTCACCCCCCGCTCCCCCCATGCACCCTTCCCATGTCCATCGCATGACCCCCATGCCCTCGACCCCCTGGCACCTATGGCTCATGGCCCCATGATCCCACATGGCTCCCACCACCCACACCTCATGGATGTTTTGGCATTCTTTTAGGGGCTCCAGCTCATGGCCCCATGTCTCACATGGCTGCCACCACCCACACACCCTCCCCCTCCATGCACGCTTCCCATGCCCCCGTGGCCCCATGCCCCTATCAGATGACTTGAACCCGCCGCCTCCGCCCGCTCCGCCCGCTCCATTCCACGGCCCCCATGTACAATGTAGCACATATACATAGTAGATATGCATACGTAACCTCCACCCTGACACTGAAAAATCTTCACTAGCGGACATTGCCTCGCTGCGAATGCTAGCGGGGCCCCGAGCCCACGGACCCAGCATCTACAGCGAGGCAATGACGACCAGTGCCCTGAATATCAAAAAAACCCTGAACTACCGCAACCCCCCCCATGTTGAGGGTTTCGGGTTTACGGTTTACGGTTTAGGGTTTGGTTTCCAGTTTCGGGTTTCGGGTTTCGGGTTTCGGGTTTGGGGTTTGGGGTTTAGGGTTTAGAGTTGGGGGTCGGCGGCACTGGCGGTAGCCATTAAATCCGGCCCCCGCGCCGCCCGTGGTCCAGGGCGGAGCCCGCGTCGCACTAAAGCGCTAGCTTTAAGGGGCGAGCGCCCGAGCCGCCGACCCCGCCCAAAATTGCTTCAAATTCGCGCGGGGCCCTTCGGGAGGCCTCCAAAACGGCATCCAAGGGGACGCAACACGCGGTGGTGCGAAAAGCACGAAAACCTCGTAAAAACCATGGGTTTTTACGAAAAACCGAGGCCACAAAACACCCGCAGCACCCCATTAAACCCTCACGGGCGCGCATCATCGGCCCTAGCTTTTCACATGGGGCGCGCGCCAGGCCGAAACCACGTTTTTCAAGGTTTGGGGGGGGTACCGGAAGCCCAAAACCAGGCGAGCATCATGAGCATCAGCAGCCCTGGCCCGCGGGCCCAAGGCAATAAAAAACGCTGAAAAACGCTGAAATCACCGTAAATACCGTGTTTTTATGAGGTTTTTCACGCGTGCCTCCGACCCCCACCCCTGTTGCCCTTGACCCGCCCCCAAAGTGCGCATCATCGAAACCCACGTCCGGGGGGGGGTCTGCTGATGCTGCTGATGCACGGGGTCCGGGCGCATCATGGAGCCATCGCTTCTCTTGGGCTTCGTGGGGGGGTCCGGGCCCACGGCCCAGAGACCCAGCTGATGCTCATGATGCTCGGTTTGGGGGGGTGTTCCAACAGCAGAAAACCTCGTAAATACCGAGTGTTTTGTGGGTCCACGTAAAAACGCCCCTAAAATCGCTCATTTTACGCGCTCGAACGGCTTCGTGCCTACAAAACACCCGAACAGCAGGACCCCGAATGCCCTTAAGGGCATTCGGGGTCTTGCTTTTGGGGGTTTCGTGGGCACGCAAGCGTTCAAGCACATACAATCGGCGTGTTTAAGGGGGTTTTGGATGGCCTGGGGGAGGCCGCTGATGCTCATGATGCTCCCTTTCCTGGGTCCCAAAAGGCTTCCCAAGCCCAAAAACACGTGTTTACAGCGTTTTCTGAAGGTTTTTCGAAGGCAAAACGCATGCATAGAATGCTTTTAAGGCCCCCAAACCAACCCCACTGATGCTCCTGATGCGGGTGCGCGCGCGCGCGCGCCGGGGGGGGAGGGGGGGGGAGGGAGGGGGGGCGAAGGCAGGAGAAAGAGAGACAGAGAGAAGGAGAGGACAAAGACACGGGAAAGAGAAGACAGTGCCAAGGTTCAAGGTTTCGTGCTTTGGGGGGCGGGGGCCGGCCCGTGCCGCTAGGCCTGAAATCCGGCCCCCGCGCCGCCCGTGGTCCAGGGCGGAGCCCGCGTCGCACTAAAGCGCTAGCTTTAAGGGGCGAGCGCCCAAGCCGCCGACCCCGCCCAAAATTGCTTCAAATTCGTGCGGGGCCCTTCGGGAGGCCTCCGAAACGGCATCCAAGGGGACGCAACACGCGGTG